CACCTTTATTCTCACTCAATAGCAATTTTAGCCCTTTCAAATTTCTATCATAGTGCCGTTGAGTACCACGTAATTTGCAACTTTTAATTTTCACTTCTAAAGTCACTTCTGAGTAGTTATGTCAATTATGTCACCCCATATTACTCAGTAATATACCATTATATGTACTTTTTGTAAGTATAAATACGACTGTACACAGCCTGTAAAGATGATTTCGTCGATGAAGAAAATTGTTTCGCTGAATTTTGATAAATATTTCATCACATATCAAAATAAATTACGACACCACAGTCATGATGATATCTACATTTAAATTCAATCAAACCTCCCATAAAGTCTCCGCTAATGAATGTCTCATCTTCTCACTCGCTTAATAATGCACTGAAGACGTAACCTTTGAAACTATTTGAACAGCAAAAATTGAGTAAAATGCTTACATGGCAAAATGTAGGCGGTTAAATATCCTTCTTTGTACTTCTTATAATTTATTTCTTTTTGGTAAGATACATGAACTTTTATTAAAAATGTTGTTAGTTATGCTGGTGATTTTTCATCTTACACACTCTAGGAATTTATAATAAGGGATAACTGTGGGGGATTTTATCAGTTATTAATCCCCCCCCTGTCAGAGACAAGTTGGTTTGCTCGCCAACATTAAAACAACGTACTGGAACTTTGTGATCACTAAGGAGTAACTTAAATCATGTTTCTAGTCTTTGATGTTTGTGCAGACCTGTAAATCAGTTTCGCTATACGGTCACCAATGGATTTCCACCACGTTTTATAGACAAGAATATTCATTTAAATTATATGAAATGTGACTAATCATCTTTACCTAAAAAAAATACTGTACACTAGCTTGGAATTCCAAGGAGACTTAGCTTTTTATATCATGAAAAGAAGGGTCTCACGGTCCCTGAAAAGAACATTCGCTACAGCATCTTTGAGAGTAGTCTTTACCAGTCGACCATTACTGTCCAATAACCTGAAGGACAAGATCCAGCTGTTGACTAAATCTATGTGCGTGTATCAATTCACCTGCTCATCTGGAGCAATGTATATTGGTCGTTCGACTCGAGTTTTGTCCTAAAGGGTGCAAGAACACTATCCTGCATGGCTATAAAGAAGTGGAAGTGAATCAATAAGAAGCGCAATCATTGGATATATGGTCGATAATGATCACTCTATCTCTACAGCCTCTTCCTTTAAAGTCATCTACAAGACAAAATGTAATTTACCTAAATCACTACGTACCCGACTCATTGAAACAGAAAATCCAGATCTCTGTATACAGAAATAGTTCGTTCAAACCCTCTAATTTTCATTGTCTTAATCCCTTTATGCGAAAGTATGATAACTTCTTACTGGTCAATCAATATATCCACCACAGTCCTACAGGTGGTTAACCGTGAGCACGAATAGCCCAGTAGTAACATCACTAACAGTAGCACTAAGTTTTGAATCTCAGAAGGGATACGAGTTCATTCATGGTTGCAGAGACGCCTTGCTGACAAAGGCTGACAGGCACGAAACATAATTCCAGGGCTTACTACTAATTGCCTTCAACCGTCTAACTAATATTAATATCCGGTTAAGACATTTTATATATAAGAAGATAAATTAATAAGTTATCAAATGAACTAATTAGTGAACTTTTTGATGAGTTTCTAAACTTCTACGCATCCATAATATTGCATGGAGGATTTAATCATGAGCTGACATCAGGTAGAGAACCACTGGAAAACCCGGGAGTACTGGACAGCTGTTTCGTCCTAGTTTGGGACTCTTCAGCATCCATAATAATAAATAAATTATTCGTATTAACAGTGTAAGTATTTTAAATAACACTAAATTAATCAATATCAGTAGGTTACACATAAATTTATAAGTTAACGAGAAGAATATTCTTTATCCATTAATCAGTCTTTTGAAAATTTCAATGGGCACCTATTAAATAACCGTTATAACTGAATAAAAATGAATTAAAAAAATATTTGTTTCACTAAAGATTTTGTCAAAAACCAGCTGTATCCTTCTAGTTTGACACTCTTCAGCATTTTACTGCTCTCGCAACTCAAAGTTCCCAGGTTCAATTCCTAGTAGAGTCGTCCGTGAAACAATGTTGTAACGACAGAAGGCAAGGGACAGGAAACACATCGTTTATTGGGGAAGTCAAGAGATATTTAGAGATTTTTATGCACATTATTATTCGTTGTTATTAGCAGAGAAACAACGCCTTCTGATAGGTTGTTTTCTCGCTGAAAGTTATTCTGTCGTCGCTTTGTGACTGTTTATTTGAAGATTCGACCATATATCTGCTAGTCGTATCTGTTGTGACTGGTTGTTGAGTTAGTCTTTGTTCTTGCTTTTTTTCTCATGACCATGATTTGGGAAGTAAACACTGACGTAAATTACTGTCTAGCAATCTTGCCCCCAGACAGCTCTCACCACAATATCACTTCATAATCTAAAGTGAAACCAGTTAATTTCGACGCAAACCAATACTTGAAAACAGATAAGTGAAATAAGGATCCTTGTTTCAACAGTAAATTACTGTCACTTATATCCATCATCAGTTACTAAGTTAAAATATGGTCATCAGAGAAGAAAAATGACTTATTTGTTAGTGACTAGAACACACGACTGGTCCTATTTGAGCTAGATTTTGAGCTGAGATCCGAATGTCGGTTGCATTCATCGCTTTAAACACCATAGCGTTATCCACTAGACTAGTGAGGTATGAGAATCCCCTGTTGTGTAATTTGAAATTGGATGAGGGATTTCATCATGAACTGACATCGGTTAGAGAACCACACTGGAAAACCAGCTGCGAATACTAGACAGCTGTTTCGTCCTAGTTTGAGACTCTTCATCAGTACGAACCCACCGCCACGGTTTGAACCCAGGACCTTCTGGTTACAAGGCAAGCGAGCTCGTAAACCACTGAGCCATTCGACTCAATCCAATGGCCAGCCCATGAATTCTAACTTCTGATAATTCACAACATATTTGTGATTACCTATTGACATATCTGACCGCAGTGATCAGTTTCACTTTTGGTTATTAAGATCCCTGAACGGTGGCTTCACTGTAACCAGGATGAAGAGGAAGAAGAAGAAACTGATAATCTCAGTTAAATATGGTTAAATAGACTACAATGCTGACAAAGAAAAGAAATAACGATCTGCATTGGAATCCTTTCTTATCTATCAGTATTATAGAGTGGATTCTCACCCACACACACAGAATGCAGCACAGTGTATCAGGCAGAATCTAGTAATGTCCATTATCGTTAAAATGCATTTCAATGATTACTATCACTCGCTATTCCTGAGAATTCAATTTAACCAATTTCACTAATTTTTGTTTTAATTATTCATTTTCTCCTTTTCAATCATTCAATGTAGACCTCCTACAGGGAAATTTAAAGTCATAAAAAAAGATTCCTTAAAATTTCACTTCTTTAGTTAGAATAGACGGGAGTAATGATAATAATAATAATTAATGACTGGCAAATTTTGAAGTAAAAAATCAGCTACAAAGAACAGATGTTACATGTAATAGACTTCATTTAGAGGAAATATAAAGAAGGAGTTAGTGAAAAAAGATTAATGACTATCTTAAGGACTACACTATGCATATACTCTGGTGTATACTACTTAGGATAATGGATTTAAGTAGTGTGTAGTGTATGATAAATTCTATTAAAGCCACTGTAGAAGGGGAAAACAGCGCAGAGGATTGAAAATTTGAGGAAAACTGAACAAACCACTACTGCCTACAGTCAGAAACGTTACCACTGAGCTATTCGGGTTCGCAACTGACGTGGGTTCGTATCTCAGAAAGGACATGAGTTCCTTCAAGGTTGGAGATACGCCTTGCTGACTATCTAATATCATCAAATCAATGTGCACTGTGATGTCAAGCTACCTAGAATGATAGCCACATTTCAAACCTTACTGGCAAAATTCAGTCTGCACCAAACAGCAAGGACTAGACACATCACACTAGTTACTAGTGTCCAATCAATAATAACTTCTATCAAAAATTTAAAACAAACTATCTTGACAATGTTATCGGGCAGCTATACACCAAAAAAATGTAACTCAAGCACATAATAAATACTGAAAATCAATGAGAATATTCCCAACAAGGTGAAATTAAAACTCTGTCTCCAAGGATCAAACAGAATTAAACACGTCTCCGGGGTAACTAAAGTCCAAGGTTGAACAGTCAATCCACGGTATAAATATAACTTCATTCAAACAAAATCCCAGTTGTAATGCAACTTACTGATATCAACACCTCCAAAAAGCCAGCGATAAACAGCATTACAAATAAAGATCAACCAGAAACAAAGGTGAATAATAAGGATCAGGTCAGAAGAAGATATGTATATGTTAGAAAAGTGATATACATTATGCGGAAAAGAGTGCCAGTCCTCATGAGTACCAATACTAAAAACGGATTTTGAATGCAGAGAATTTCAGATTAATTGTTCTGCTACAAACCAACACTTGAATATCAATGAGATGCTCACTAGCGTATGACCCTATTCAGGTAGGTAGTTACCTGGGGTTCTAGTAGGAAGTCGTGGCCAGTAGGGTACAGCAGGTAGGCTGTGAGAACAAATACTCTACGAAGACATTGGCTAGCGGTTGCGCTATGTCGTGAATTGGCAGGAGTTAGAATTCATGGACTGGCCATTAGACTGGGTCCCAGTGGCTTAACGGTCTACGAGCTAGCTCGCCTTGTAACCAGAAGGTCCTGGGTTTGAACCGTGGCGGTGGGTTCGTACTGCTGAAGAGTCTCAAACTAGGACGAAACAGCTGTCCAGTACTTGCAGCTGGTTTTCCAGTGTGGCTCTCTTACCAATGTCAGCTCATTATGAAATCCTGTAACCAATCAACCAAATCCTTACAAACCAGTACTTGAATATGATATTATTGTTATTTGTATATTATCTTTACATGCCTTTTTCTTGATTTTTCATTCTTCAGAAACTGTAACAATCCATTTAGATTGTAATATGACAGTGGATGAAGTTGCACTTGGTTTATCCCTGCAAACTTTGACTCCATTTCGATTTTCATGTAATCGTTTATTATTACAACGATTACCAGAAATTAATTTTCCACCGTATAGTTTAATTAGATTATTTGACCCATTGGTAAGTTCTGATATATTTGATTATCTTTCATTTTTTTTTTGCACTTTTATATAAATGAGGGTAAAAAAGATAACAGAATTGTGTGTTACCTTTTGAATGACCTTTAACTTACCCATCAGAAGATGTATAGAAAGTATCTACAAAAGTTATTAGGCAAAAATGGAAAAGTTGTAGGGAATATTTATCAAATAACAGAGAAGATCTGTAGTCGAGGTGGGTGGATTTGATGCGGCTGAGTTCTGTCAGATGGAAAGTTTAATTGCGAAGCTTTCATTATCTTGCTAGACACAACGTTGATATAAGTATAAAACTTGGGCACTGTGGTGGTAGAGTATAACTCCATTATGGATAAGATTTTATTTTGATAAAGTGTCACACAGTGTTGTTATACAGTAATATTAACTGATGCGACCACGTTTCGAGCACAAATTATCACTGATCATAATCATATCAAGTTACTCACACAACTTTTTTCCTTCATTTATATGCATGTGTGGAATTGACTAGATACTTAAATAAAAATCAATATGGGAAAATGTACATTCAGAAATAATAATACGAGTGTTATTGATGAATTACAATCAGATGGGAAACAAGACGAGTGTTTTTATAATCATAATAAGTTACTTGTTAGAATGTTGTGATGTCCTTGAATTGAAATAGAATTTTGAGATTATTCATTATCCTCCTCTGATTTGACTGACTGGCAGTAATAATATCTTCCATATTTCTGGAGTTTGCATTGAGTCACTTCTGTTGTATGTGTTGTGTTGGGTGAAGACTCGATGAACCAGGCAGGATTCAGTAATCAACCACCTACCTCTCCACCTACCTGGATTACTCTTTAGGATGTTAACTCTCTCCCACTGTATTGTGTGGTTGTGTATTAATGCATGTAGTGCAATCGCTGAGCTCTTTTCTAAATTACTTATCTTCTCGGGGTCAACCATTCTTACCTTAGCTAGATTCACATGTTCCGCCAATCTGACTACCCCTGACCTACTAGTTCGACCTATGTAGTTGACCTGACTCACAGTCACTGTAAATTATGTTATTTTGTCTAATTGGGTCAACAGGGTCCTTTAACGTGCAGAGCTTGTCGCTGAGTGATTTTGTAGATTTGAATGCCACCCTAATTCCTGCTTTATTAAGAATCTTATGTAGGGTCTCTGATGTCCACTCCTTATATGGTATAACAGTGGATGACTTATATTCTCAAATGAACTGTCGTCAAGATTTGAGAGAATAGTTCTGAAATATTTGGGTTCCGAGTGAGAAGTAGACATTTGTAAAAGTTATATTTGTAAAAATGTTGTGTGAGTAGTGACTTGATATGATTATGAGCAGTTATAATTTTTGCTCGAAACGTGGTCGCATCAGTTAATATTACTGTATAACACCACTGTGTGACACTTTATCAAAATAAAATCTTATCCATAATAGACACAACGTTTTCAGTTGAAACTTCAATATGAAGTGAAGTTATTCGAACTCTTCATGAATGATATAATTATATCTTCATACAACTTTCGCCGTGATTGATTGTTAATTTGCATCAGTAAGGACCATCCTTATTGATTTGGAATTTTCCCCCTTTTGTCAAAAGATGACAAGATCAATGTCAACAGACAAAGAATGCATCTCCTTCGACTTCAAGTCTAAGAAAATAAACTAAATGTCAAAGGAAACGACATTTGTTCTTTCATATGGATGTATGTAGACAATTATAGATAGCTTAAATATCCCCATTGAGTTAAATGAAAAAGGGAAGACGTTCAGCGAAGAGACTCTTTTCGCCGGTAAATTCATTCACATAGCTATATAGTCGCATCTATATACAATAAGTTATATTTGTATGTGTGTGTGTACATGAGGTTTGTCAAGTTTGGATAATTGATCAGATAATAAAAGAATGATCTAACATTGAAACAAGGTTAATTGGACAGCAACTAAAGTAAGATTGAGTTAGTAAGTTAGATGACGTAATATAATTGACTAAAATATTTCAACTTAGGTCAGGGTAGCAACAGAGGTAATTACAGGTAGAGACTAGGTAGAAGTGGGGTAGAGAATAATGCAATTTAAATTAGAACTAAAACTGAGCAAATAAGTTGGATGACGTAACATAGATGGCTAGAAGTTGAGCGTTGGTCAAGTGGATAACAGTGGCAATGAGGTGTAGAAATTAAATCGGGTGCGGGTAGAGAACAGGAAGGTTGAAAATGCAAAATATTACAATTGAAAAGACAAAATAATACTAATGAAGAGACAGAAAAAGAAGATTATGTAGAATTTGCCTGTTGGGTATTAAGATAGATTACGTCCATTGCAAGTGTAGTGATTGAACGAACTTCTTCTGTATGCAGAGTTCAGAACTTGTCAAGTGAATCCCCATTGCTTTTGCAGTTTGAAGAAGTCTGATTCGTACACCTTTAGGTTGCCTACCTCTTACTCTGTAGACGACTTTGAAGTGTGTTTGGGGTGTAGCTTGGTGTCCGGTATCTATCAGATGTTCTTAGACTGAGCTGTGGAGGCATCGTTTTTCTCCTTTGTAAAACCGTGTTAGTAGGTCTTCGATGATACGTTTGGAAAGCGAACACTGGGTACGGCCGACATATTATAGATAGCAGTTCGACTGGGAAATTCAAGACATTTTAAATTGTACAAGCAACAGAAACGACAAGAAATTCCAAGACGCCCCAGCAATGAGGCGAATCAGTGGTCAACAGTCACACTACAATACTTCGACTATATCAGATAGTAAAGAATAAGCATGGTGACCAAACTAGGTACCTAACCTGTCGTATGCTCTGATGGTGTTCTCGTGACTTTCATTACCAACTCCGCCAAGGGCAGTGGGATAGTAGGCGATCTAATGGTTGTGTGCAAGGTTTGAAGAAGAAGACTGTGTGCAATATGCATGCCCCTCGCCCAGATAATGCTTGTACGTCGGTGACACAGTGATAGAATGTTGACCAACCATACATGTGGTCCGGGGTTCAGTCCAGGTTATGAGACACGTAAAGATGGAAGGTTGGGCTTAAGGCTAGCAACCCTATCCCATAAAAATAAACATCACTGCTACCAAAACTTCAAAGCTTTAACTTGAAGCTCTACGTTCCACTAGGAACGTAAAGGAATAAAAAAAACTATGACAAAACAGTGATCCTTCCGGTTGGAACTTTAGGCTTCACCAGAAACTCTGCATCTCATACCTAACTCCATCCTGAAGTTGACTAAACGCCTTCATTTTCTGCGAACAAAATCTCCTCCACGTCACCCTCAGACATACGTCTATCTAACTGTGTCCTATTTAAGTTCCACTTGAAGGCTTGACTAGTGTGTGATGTAACCTGATTATCTCCTCAGCTTATGCCCATTCCCCCTCCATTTCCTTCTGCATGTCATTTGTGCAGTAGACTTGTGGATGATTCGTTGTCAAATTTCCTTGTTGCTTATCCTTTCCAGTAGGTCATCTGATATTTAGGAATAAGCTACCAAAGGCAAGAGTTGATGAAGGTTTTCACTAGCCTGTTGAAATTGTACTTTTTGACTCACAAGTCATATCGGTGAACTATGTAGAATCAATCATTTCAGACTTCTTTTAGAATCCCAGATCTTATTCCATATACTGAGTGCAACCGACTTCCTCACTGCTTTCAGAGTAGTGTCTGTCTGTCTTGATTTTCTGATCCTACCTTTGACTTTTAGTTAATTAATGTTGTTTTCTAATGATAATTTACAGATTTATGCGTTTATTTTATATATTGTAGTCAATTACACAATTTGAACTAGAAGATCCTACAATCGGAAGTAGTATAGCTGTTGTCTTACCATCTGCAGTTGGTTGGTTAATTAGTCTACGTAATTTACGAGCATGTTCATTACCATCGTGTATTCCACCTCCACCAGATGTCATACCGACTACACCAAGTTCAACATCAACACTTATCTCAACCTCGCATATTGGAAATGTACAGTCTCCTTCAAATCCTTCTTCTACTTCTCCACAGTCTAATGCCGGTTCATCGTCGCCAACACCTTCGTCATCGAATGTTATCAACAGCTCTGGTAGCAGTGGTAGTAGTAGTCAAAATTCTTCGACTTTAAGCAACACAACGAACAGTAGTCCTCCATTACAAAACTTTACAACTCCAGCATTCACATCAACGGTAGCTGCTTGTCGTCTGTTGAATAGAGCACTTGTATCATTGAGATATTTACAAAGACTTGGATTAGCTAGATGTCATTTAACTGGACAATTGAAAACTCTTCTAGGCGGATTAAGTCAACCACTTGAATATTTAAATTTACAGGTAAGATTGGTGAATGTTATTTATTTAAATGAGTTAACTTTTTTATTTTGTATGTTTTGTAAATGAGGGACGAGTTTTCTTCAGGTTTTTGTTTTGTTACCGGTTGGCACTATTTTCAACAATGAAGCATGCCAACACCGAATAAAGATATTTAGACAAATTTATTTGAAAATGAGTGATAGATGCGTCCCTGAACTTTCATAAAGCATGATATACAAAAACTCTGGTTCATACAATGTATGTCTTTATGTTAGTCCTAAGGATTTAACTTGATCAGACAGCAAAAACAAGTCGCTTACTTGGTTCAATGGATAGTTCTTTTGCTTTTGAAACGATTCGTAAGAGGTTTGAGCACTGGCAGGAAAACCATCTCCAACCACTAGGAATACAGATACACCAAGCTGAAGAGTCTCGCAAAGGATGAAACACACATCTTGGTGTCCAGTGTTAGTCACCAGCAACCAAACTAACCGGTGAACAGATTGTTTGTTGTTTCGAGATATAAAGTAACTTGTAACACTGACTTTTATCGATCAGACTTTATAGCGTCTTTTACTATGTATATCTAATGGCACAACCAGGAAGTGTTTGATAGCAAAAATGTGTATCTTTTTGCGCTAATCATGGACAGCGAATGCAAAATTCAGAATTCTTATACTAATATCTACATTGGATAGTGCTCTTCGTGTTCTACTTCTATATATATAGTATGAAACACAATTCGGCATTGCGTATTCAATATATATATATTTTGTGCGTCGGTGGCACAGTGGTTAGGACTCTCGCCGACCATGCACATGGTCCGGGGTTCGAGCCCACGCCGGCGCACACCTGATATCTATGGTCGACCTGCAAAATTTGGGCTACCGATATCCATGCTGAAAATTCCATACTTGTACCAAAAATACGGTGTGGAATCAAGCTGTAAATAAAAAATAAAAAAATAATTAAAAAAAAATCAATATCCAAATACTAGGTCAAAGAAAGACTGATAACTGCTTCTTTCTGAACACACAAATCAGGTTTCAGGCGCCTGATGGAAATGGCTTCAGCAAACTTGAGGAGAATTGAACTTTTTTCCCTACTGATAATTTTGAACGATTTTGCGACGTCCACCTCATGACCTGTGTGAAGAAAATGCCTGCCGATGGCACTGTTTAAAGCATTTGTTCGCATTAGACGCAAGCGATTTGGTACATGTTCAGAAAATCGTAGATATGCCCTTCTTTCTTTTCTTGCAATTTAGCCGCTCCCGCAGATGCATGTAAATTTGTATATAGAGTTGGAGTTAACATGAGAAGGATATCTATCAGTTTTCGATTGCACCAAAGAGCAAGTTGTTGGATAGAGGGGAACGAGCTTAGCTGCAAGATAGGCTCTGGCAAGTGACGTACTCAGTCTTCTGTTATCAGTCTTCCCTTGCCTTTTCACCTCTCTTTCATTTGATTGCATAATGTCGAAATTTTCCATTGTGTATGATCATTACTGTTCAGAATAGTGTTTAATATTATTTTATATATATATATATATATATATATATATATATATATTATTACTGTATGCAAATATTAATCGATTGATTTTTGTTTAAAAATGAACTCTGTGCAAGAATGTTAAAATTGTTTCTGTAGACATATTGAATAGTGAATGTGGCCTGTAAGCAGATGATGAGAAAGCAACGAAATAAAAGATGATACCAATTTATTCTTCAACGACTGTTGTTCTTGCTTTGTTCAAATTTCTTTTTTCTTCGGTTGATTACATCATCCTAGAGATTTGATGTGATCTGAATGTTTGTTATGGTTAAGTGTATTTGTTAATTTCAAGAAAATAAGTCTTATTACCTTGTTTCAGATATATTGAACAATATTTTACTAATTCTATCCATTCCTATTCCTCTTTCTACTATATTTTAGGATTGTTGTCTTGCCTCTGAAGATATTCATTATCTGGTACATCAATGGCGTCCATTGCATGGTTTATATGAATTAAATCTATCACGTAATAATTTATCAGTTGTACCAGAAGAGACATTATATGAACTTGTACAGAATGTTTGTCTTAAACCAAGAGGACGTTTAGTTTGTTTATCTATCGCATATACATGTTTATCCACTGAAAGAATAATTAATTTACTCAGTTTAATGGCTGGAATGGATCCATCACAGGTAAGCGAAACTATCCACTGTATCTTCTATTATTATTATTATTATTATTATTATACATTCCTTCAGTGGGACATCTTGGTTCTTTCCCAACATTTTTTAAAGGGCTTCACATTCTGCATATCCCATCATATGCTCAGCTTGTCACCTCCCGTATAGGTTTCCACTCGAGATTCTAACTGGCATATGTTAAGTCCATCTCAATTTCCTTCTACATGGCCGTTGGGCATGGGCATTTTGTCAGCTGGTTCACTAGAATATCAGAGTTTCTTATCGTTTGGCCTCCGTAGGCGACTATTCTAGTCTTCATTAATTAATGATCAAAATTCTTATCTCCATCCTTTTCTCAGTTGAAAGGTAATTTAGGGTTAATCACTCACCTGAAAGTAGGGTAAATACTTGACTGACCGAATTCAGTCTGCACCTAACGAAGGAATAGACATTGATTAGTATCTAATGTCCAATAAAAGCATCCATAACAGTAATAAAGGAGATCAACTGTCAGTGGGTAAGTGTCTGACTGCAGCACTGAATGACCACTTCAATCACCACTTCAACCTTTTGGTGGCTAAATGTAGGTTGAAGTTCTCTCGAGATGTTTAAGCTACAAGAATTTACTGTATTTTAAAAGCTAATCAAAGCCATATACATATTATTAAGACGAATAGCGGTTTTTATTTGAACTATGATTCCGTCATAGCCATTTTGAGCTGAAAAATGAATAAAACACCCATTTCCTAATATTTCTATAATATGAACATTAAAGGTTATTAAAGAGAAATTCTATCTATAAAGTAACCTCTTATTGGTTGAACGTTTTGGACGCAGTGACCAAGTAATTCGTTGGGAAGACCCATCGCGTTTCTCATTAGCATGCCTTCTTTCTCTAACATCTTTTTCTAACATTCCACTAACTACACAAAGTGTGATTTATGTATTTCAAATAAATATTCAAGACAAAATTATTTCGACAGATTAAATAATAAAGTTTGAATAAAGCGAGAACAACATTGATTTGTGCAGAATAACATGGTACCATCATTTATTTCGTTGGCTTCTCGTCAGCTGCTTACAGCCTAAATAAATTTTCAGGTTTAAGTACAGAAACGTTTTAACATACTTGCAAATTTTACATGTTGTCAGTTGACAGAAAGTTTCACAATTAGTAAACAGTGCTCAGAAAATTGCGCTTATATAGTTTTTACACAGGCAGTTCAAGTTAAAAAAAAAAATAAATGTATGCATATAATGGTAAGGGAGTTACATAATAAAGATGGGATGTGCGTTGGATGCATAGTGACTAATAAGTTAGGTAACAATGTACTGAGTTGAACTCAAATCATAGAAACAAGAGACAAGCAAAATTACAGAATATAAAAGAGGGTGAGGTTAAAGACAAAGATTACGCAATCAGATGAGAGAAAAAAGACATCCAGTTACCAAGGCAAGGAAAGACTAATAACTGATTCTTTCTGAACACATAGATCTGGTTTCAAGCGTTTGATAGAAATTGCTTCGGCAAACTTGAGGAGAATGGAGCTCCTTTGTCTATTGATAATTTTGAAGGATTTCTCGATTTCCACCTCATGACCCGTGTCGAGGAGATGTCTGGTAATAGCGCTGCTATAAGAGTTTGTTCCCTTGAGACGTAGGCTTTTCGGCACATGTTCAGAAAATCGGAGGTGTGCCCTTCTTTCTGTTCTCCCAATGTAACTGCTCCCGCAGATACACGTAAATTTGTATACACAGTTGGAGTTAACATGAGAAGGGTATCTATCGACTTTTGACTGCACCAAAGAGCATGTTGTTCGGTGGACGGGAACCAACTTAGCTGCAGGATAGGCTCTGGCTAGTGACGTCCTCAGTCTTCTGTTGACCATTTCTGCAATGTCTTCACCTTTAAAGTCTAGTTGAATGAAGACAGGCTTTTTTTCGACTGTGATTTGTTTGGTATTTGGGCCTTCACATCTTCCATATTTGTTAATGAATTTTTGAGTATAGCCGTTGTTTTTCAGCACCTTTTCGAGATTCGTGAATTCTTCCTCTAGTTTCTCTGCAGAGCATATTCTCCTCGCTCTATAGTACAGAGTCTTGACTAGTGCTCGTTTATAGCTATTTGGACAAAAACTATTAAAATGTAAGTATTGTCCATTCCATGTGGGCTTTCGGTAGATTGACCTCTGGAGGCTACCATCTTCTAGGCGTTTTATGGCGACGTCAAGGAAATGGAACTGTCCATCATTTTCATGTTCCATAGTAAATACAATATTTGTATGTGCGTTGTTGAATAGTCTGAGTAGGTAGGAGGCATGACTTTCGTTGTTGCATACTACAAATGTGTCATCGACATATCGACAATAGGAAGTTGTTTGATCAATTGCATGCTTCAGCTTTGTTTTCTCAAGGTTTGACATAAAGATATCTGCTAAAACAGGGCTAAGTGGACTGCCCATAGCTACACCATCTATTTGTCGGTAAAGAGTGTTGTCAAACTGGAATTGTACACCCATGGTACACATTAGCAGTAGGCGTTTGAATTCCGGCTCTGGTAGTGGGAGAAGATCAGACTGTTGACAAATGATTTCAATGGTTTCATTGATAATAATAATAATAAATAATAAATTATGTAGAGAGAAATTAAACACTCCTCATCTGGATATTGATCTCCGGCTAACTGATGGCTACTGGATGGATGTCTTCAAGATATTATTCATAGTTTGAGGCAAGTGGAATCCGCCATATCAGGATGAAGGAGATGTAAATCGATGCCACTGGTTGGCAATAGTGGTATACAAACCCAATATTAGCGTTTTTTTTAAATAATATCGATTTGTCAAGTAAGATCACAATGGAATTACAGTTCATTAAAGATGCTTAAATCATAATAATAATAATAAAGATATAATAGCGAATAGAATATCAACTAAAATTAGGAAAATTCCACAAAAATTCAGGATCATTCAAACCTGGATGGCCAGGGGAAGGATAATGTCTGAACTAACTTCCTTTGGACTCACAAATTACGCTTGTTAATGTGGATTCCAACGGCCTCAGCAATACTTAGTATTGGAGTTCTTAAGGCAAAATTGAGTTTCGTAGGTACGCCCAATTTTTGCCTCATCCATGTGTATCTATCAATTTAACTGCTCCTGCGAAGCTAGTTACATAGGCCACACAATTAGGCGTGTTTCTTGTCGAATTTGAGAAGATCATCCTATGTGATTAAGCAAAGGACAAACAAAATCTATTCGCAGTGCTATTCTTTCTCATCTTGTGGATACAAAAAACAAGATCAGGGTCATTTGTCACATACATATGAATCTCAATTTTGCCTTAACAGTGCGATAACTAAATGTTGCTGAGGCTGTGGGTATCCATATTAACAAGCCTAATTTGTGCGTCCAAAGGAAATTAGTTCAGACATTATCCTTCCCCTGGCCATCCAGGTTTGAATGATCCTGAATTTTTGTGGAATTTTCCTAATTTAAGCTGATATTCTATTTGCTACTATATCTTTATTATAATTAGAATTTAAGCGTCTTTAATGAACTGTAATTGCATTGATCATACTTTACAAATCAATAGTGGTATACTTCGAGATGACAGAAGTTAGAATTCATGGGTTATTAAATTACACCTCAGTGACTGAATAGTTGAAGAGTTGGCCTTGTAACCTAAAGACCTTAGGTTCCACTTCTGGTAGGGTCGTTGATGAACACTGAAGAAGAGTCCAAACTTAAGAAGAAATACCCATCCATTGACGTACATTTTTCACTAATTCTCTAACTGATGATGTTTAGTGACGATGTCTACATTCGAAGATACTTGTGTAATAGCCTACTTTACAGAATTTGAAATTAAAGTGACTGTCTTAACTAACCAACAACTAGCACTGAACACCAACAGCAAAAGAAGTCAAAACTTTTACTTATCCTAGACAGTACCCTTTCAACTACGCGCGGAAGGGATGAGGATATCAAAGGAGAACTCGGAAGAGAGTGATGTAACTTCATTATCCTGGAAACAATAGGGAAATCCGCTTCACCTTTTATTTAAGGAACACTAATATTAAGTTTAATTCAGTTCATAAATTCGAAGCATAAGTTGCCGAAACCAAGTCCAATGGGCTACTGAAAAGTTTCATCAGTATTCGCCTTTGCTCCATACTGAAGTTCAGATATCCAGAATGCATTAACAAAAAGGAACTCCGGAAATCATCCAAGAATCTATCTTACAACAGATATAACAAAATAAAAAGACCTGGGTTGGACATACACTGAGGAGACCGTTTAGGTCAAATCATACCTCAAGTCATCGATTGAAACCTGAATAGGAGAGGACTACGTGAGAGTGCATCCAAAAAAGACATGGAGTAGACTGTGAAACATGGGGATAAACGCTGGTGGGAAGTCATGGAACCAGCTATAAGGGGCTGTAGAGAATAGAGTCGAGCGTAAATGCACTTCTGAAGCTCTATGTTTCACTTGGAACCAATGGTAAGGACCTGGAAACATTTGTTTAAGAGAATAGCATTTAAAGCAGATACACACAGAATTAAATTGGTTGTTCAAACTCATTCAACCAGCAGTTGACTATGACTGTTATTCATTATCTATAATACAAATGAGTACCAGAATTCAGTAGCTTATATTTCTTTACAAAAGTTATTAATAATACTTGTCTGCCGTAAAGTTCCTTAATGTGTAGCTCTTAATTTGTCTCAAGGTAACGGGGACAAGAAATACATTTTTATTCACCGATATGCTTTTTAACTACTCTCTGATCAAATATACTGAACTGAATTGATCAGACTCCTTTGACATATCCCATTCTAGTACGGAGGCTCCAAAATTGCCTTGTAATAAACTTGATATTATTAGGTTGACAATAGCTATCTGTAGAACCAAATAAACATTCTCACTAGTCACCCGATCTCCTACTATGATGGGCGTGCATTCAGCTGAGAGGCTAGAAATAGGACGAAATGCCCCTAATCAATTTCCTTATTCACATTATGAACTGAATAAAAAAGGAATTCACACAGAAAATTCTCATCAGTCTTCAGTTTCACTCTAAGATGGTAGACGTTAAGAGAAGATGACTAAAAAATAACTTCGCATTGTCCCTGTTTCAAAAAAAAATATCGAACAACGGAATATATTTGGCCAACTGCTACAACTTTTTTTGATAATACTTTGTCTACTTAATAGTTTTCCAGTAGCACAATTATAACAGTTATTTAAAAAAAAATGATTAGATGTAATTTGTCTGAGTCATGTATTGTATTTGTACAACACATTTCGAACAATCTGATCACACACTTTGTTATCATGGTAATTTATTGAAAAATTAATGCGGCGTTAGGGAGTGAGAGAAATGACACAGGTCAAGTTAAAAGGCTACATTAACAATAGAGATCAAAGAAACGTCTTTACTGGTACAGAGACAAAGTTTATCAAGGAAGGTTTAGTGTCATATCAAATTTTGTTTGAACACATAAAGGCCGTTTAAATTTCCCAGTATCTGATGTTTCTCCTGTTATGATGGATAACATGAGCAGGCAGACTATTCACAATTACAATGCCAACCACAATGATAATAATGTCCCGTACGATAAATAAAATAGAAGACGACCCATTGGTGAAGGCTTTTACTGTCTTAGCTATAATGTCACAGTCCAGTAAGTGTCCAAAAACAGTCATTAGCGAAATGAAACATTTACTGCTTACATCATCTTGACCGATGATAAGTTCAAAGGGTTAACAGCCAATCTGTAACGAATATTGTTAAGACCAAAACCGACTTGCTGTGGTTTGAGAGCAGGAAACTACCTTGAAACACACACAGTCACGAAATGCTCCACTGACAGCAAAAAAAAGGATTATTCTCCGATAAATCTGTCATCCTGTTCAACAATAATAATATCAAAGACTCAAAATTCCCTCAGAAGTGCCGTTAAACAGCTATACAGTCTAGCTAATTTTCTAAGTACAAAAGGAGTACTTAGGATCTAGTAGAATATTTCCCCAAAATTAGGATCAAAATCTCTGCGTAGAAAAATCACACACTAGAGCTTCTAGAGAACTTCCCGAGGTGACGGTGACTTCCATCCACTCAGATGAAATCCCATAGTACAATATAATTATCAGTGTACACTCAACCAAGGAGAGCAGCATTAAAATCAGAGAACAAACAGGAACAAAGACAAATAATAAGAATCAATCAGATCAACAGGTGATATGCAAACTTTCAAGTAAACTTATACAGTCTAGGAGAAAAAATGGATAGCAACTGCAGAGTTAGTTTGTAATTAGATTGTCCATGAAATATTTTGCTAACAATTATTCTATTACAAATGGGAATAAAAGCAATGTGGGAAAACAGTAAAATAAGTTATAAGGTTGCTAAGCGAAGATTACAGGTATACAACAGAGAATTGAGGGTATATAACAACAAAGCTAGAAGTATGTAACACTGCCGCCAAACACGTTTTATAGAAAGAGTTAAAAGAATGTAATTGTTGGGTGGTGACTAGCAGTGGAATCCAGCTTGATGCACATTTCAACCTATTTGGGACTCATCAGATAGATGCACCTGAATTCCCCAGTCAGTGAGTGATGATGTTCCCACCGAGGCTTAAGCTCAGTGCCCCTAGTTTCAAACGCCTAAGTGTTTTCCACTAGACCACTTGGGAGACGACAGTCACCTCATGTGCAACGGGTTATATTAATGATTTAGTTGAATTTTAGATTTTCCCGTCGACTGATTAAACCGAAGTGCTCATTGCAAAAGAGGTGGTTGTCGTGGCCCATGTAGTCTAGAGGATAAGGCTTTGGCGTTTGAAAATAGGAGCACATGGCTCGAGCCTCGGTGGAAAGATCATCACTCAGTGAGGAATGCAGGTACATCCAGATGATGAGTCCGAAATATGACGAAATGCGCTTTATCCTGGATCCAACTACTAGTCACCATCCACCAATTAAATGCTAATGAAATGCCTAGACATCGTAGAAGCATCTGCACAAGAAGCCTACATGACCAGCCTGAGACTGAGCACTTCAGTCCAATGAATCGACGGGAAAATCTGAAATTCAATTAGATTTAAAAGAAGTTTAAACATCAATTTCATACTCTATAATACATCATTTATTTCATAACAGAAGAGTTAGCTGGTCTGTTTTCAGGTTCAGGGGATTCAATTTGTCCCTTCATATTGTCTCATTGAAATTCATTCAAGGGAGTTAACCATTTTAAATAATAATTTTTACTTTTACTTTTTAGAATTTAAATGAAAATGACGAAGGAGAGAATGATACTGCCTCAAATAATATTGATAAATGGATTGATAAAACATGTACACTACGTGTTCTATGCATTCAATCGTTTATTCCACCGGCAAGATCACAAATTCATAGAATATTATATAGAATAACACGATTACCGAAATTACACAAATTATATATATTTCCAGCATTTTATGCATTTCCTGGTGACACAGAAATTGAACAACGTGAATTACGTCTTAATCAATTGATGCATAGTCGTAATTATCTTAGGCAGCGGTGTCGTTCAGATATTGACATACTTTAATTCGACATCTTATATGGCGGAGAATCATTAATATCATAATCACAGTTATCATTGTCTCCATCTTGTTATCATTGTTGAAGAATAAGGAACACAAGACATTAATGAAGAAATAGAATCATTAATAGGTTCAATTGGGGTGCACCCGCGCGCACACCCACACAATAATCAATATCATCATCGATAATAAATAATCACTTATATCCAGCTGTATATCTTCAAAAACATTGAACATTGAATAAGTGATACATGTTTTATATTAGTGATCATTTCTGTTGTTGTTTTTTTGGATTTGTTTGTTTTTCATTGCGTTTTTTTCTTTTTGTATTAAAAATGATTGCTGTTCATTACAGAATAAAATTTATTATTTAAAATGTTGCATATTATTATATACATACCAAAAAACAAAATGAAGTATTTCTCTATCAGTTTGTTTATTAGATGTATCACACAGTGAAACAGTATTAGTATGTACTAGATGACGAGGTTTCGAACAAAATTTATTACTGTTCATAATCATATCTTCAGTTATAATCACATGACTTTGAAAGCTGAGTTTTTATAGTTTTCTTTGTCCTCTCCTATTTGTCGTCATTGGAGTAGTAGAATTTTCCAGATATCTTGGTGGACAGGTGTTGAATCATTTCTATTACACGTGTTTGCAGTTGATTTGATAAACAAAGCTTCCGCTGTCATTAATCTCTCACTATACCCTGTGACATTAGATTGTAAAACTGCCGTCTTATCCCATCAATCCTATTGTACGGTTGTGTGTGATTGCATGTAGTGAGGGATATAGCTGAACTATTCTCTAGATTTCTTATCTTATTCGGATCAACTAATTTAGATTTTGCTAGGTTTCTATGCTCAGCTAGTCCGGTAGACTGCTTTTTTTCTACTACTTCAACCTATGTATTTGACCTCTCAGGCACGGTATAAGATGAATTAAACTGTCAGGATCCTTTAACCGACAAAGCGTGTTTCTAAATGAGTTTGTGGTTGGTTTGAATGCCAGCCACTTTTATTACCACCTGGTCAGAATTCTGCGTAAGGTTGTTTCCGAGGTCCTTTCCTTGTATGGAATTACCACTGATGATTTAGATTCCTTATTGTTGGTATTGTCTTGCATGCATATTTGACATGCATGTTGTCATTAATATTATTACTACTACCCCTACGACAAATAGAAGACAGAGAAAACTATAAAACTTAAGTTTCAAAGTCATGTGAGTATAAATGATGGGATTATGAACAATAAATTGTGTTCGAAACGTCATCCAGTATACAATACTGTTTCACTGACTGTGTGATACATCTAATAAACAAACTAATATGGAATTACTTACTACCACAGTGCCGAAGTTTTACGCATATATTAATATGAAGTATTTCTCATTGAGCCGCTGGTTTAAGGGTTAAGATATTTTTTATGAAGATTATATTATAGTGAATATAAATTAAATATTTTAGAATTCAGTTGACGAAATTATAAATTCACTTATGGTATACAGTGCATATCACCTTTCAGGCGAAGTTCAACAATGGCGTCCCAGGAGTGCGAATGCTCTAATGCCAGTCTTTGGCTGACTGCACCTATTCTTATGATAGCTGAAATATCAACGCTATTCATCAACTAACGAGCGAATTTCACCCAGATCACTTTTTAAGTACTGTTTGGACAATAGGTTAATAGGCCGTTAGGGTTAGGATCAGGGTTATAATTAGGATTAGGGTTAGGTCTACGGTTAGGATGAGGGTTGTTATTATTAATGTTAGGATTAAGTTTAGGCTTAGTGTTAAGTTTAGGTTTAGGGTCAGGATTAAGGTTAGGGTTATCATTGTGAATAGATTTAGAGTTGATGACATTTGTTTTAATTTGTTTACTTATCCGTATTTCCCTGGCAAGTAGTCGTCAATCCTCTTACTGGAAACCATGGTAATTCAAACGAGGGCTTTTGGGGAAGACTGGATAAAAGAGATAAAAATGTTTGAAAAATAGCTCATCTTTAGTTACCTCAGTGAACACATGCACAGAAACTAGTCTAACTTAGCAATTGATACGCCTCATTATAACTGGGACGTATTTTTAAGTCATCTCAGAGGAACATAACCTGTTCAATGTGTTTTCGAGCAATTTCTTGTCAGTACACATCATTTTTTGTGAAAATTTTCCCACTTTTATGATTGGTCGGCTGAAGGTCACTCATGCGTTTGCACTCCAGGGACGCTATTGTTGAATTTTGCCACCTTTCATGTAGTTACGTTGATGCTTTCAATGGTTGGGTTGTAGAAATTCGATTGATTTGATGTGAGATTTCCCTGCAAACTTATATCCCTTAGAGAAATATTGTTTGTCCTGGTTGGGGACAATTCGCTTGAAATAATCGGGGAAATAGACTGTTGACTAGTCAGCTATTGTGGTTGAATTCATTGACGGTCTGATTAAATCATTACTATTATCTATGTTATTATTCTATTAGGTTCCAAGTGGAACATACGGAACATAAACAGCGCATTCCTATTTCATCCTGTTCTCTTGAGTCCTCTGAAGCTGGCCCAAAAATTACCGGTTACCTCTCGTCTCCTGTTCACATGAGGTTCTCCATGTTACTCTCGGATCAATACCTCACTCATCGTCTCCCATTTAGGTGTGATATGTCACTCAATAGTCTTCTCAGTGCCTGTCCGATCCACCTCCTTTTTATTCGACACATTAGATGAGTTATAGGTTCTTGAACAGGTCTTTCCCAGAGTTTCTTGTGTCCAACCCTTTCTAGCTGGCCATCTGACCTTCAATATGGAACCAATGAAGGCAGCTGTTGAGAAAAGTCTGTAGTTACCTGTTGAGAATGTTTTCCGAAACGCGCCAGGCCTCTGATCCATGCAGAAGAACTCAGTGACTGAACAATGTTGTTGAAAATCCAAGCTTTTTTTTAATGCTGAGGAGTGCAGCAGATTTGCAAAGTGATCTGATAGCGATGAAGGTTTGTCTTGTCATTGTGATTCTGTTTTTGACACCCTGATCTGTGTTGTCGCCTGTAGTTGAATGGATCGTGCCTAGATAAGTGAAGGGAGTGATCTGTTTGAAATTTCCCTTGTTGATAGTGATTGGTGCTCGTTGTTGTTGTTGTGGTTATTCACTTGGTTACCTTCGTTGCCACCGCCTTCTCTATGTTCACTTGAAGTCCTTTACTTGATGCTTCTTTAGTCATCTTGTTAGTTTCCGCTTGAAGATCTTTTAGTTTATGTGACGTGAGACAAATCACTCACGAAGTCTAATTCAGCATTCGGTTATTGAATTTACCTGGAATGACACTGAGATTTGAGAATATAAATCCACAAAACTTACAGAACGCAGCACTTTCAAATGGTAACTTACCTATCAATTTTGCAGTTTGGTATTTATTTATTTAATTAAGTTTGAATCTAATATGTAAAACAAATGTTATGAAGTTCTCAGATACATCCAACAAGAGAAAGTATCCTCAAGCAGCGAATATAAGTCAAACTGTGTCTCCTTTGCTTTGCATATTGTATGCGTATTGCTAACAACCATCTGAAAAAGGCATATTTAAATAGATGTAAAAGTGTATTCGACAACATGAATAATCTTATCAAAAAATATCAAGGCAACATCAGTTACTATTACTTTGGTTTTGGTAGAACGTACGGCTTCAACACTTTCTCAATAATAGATAAGATTTTATTTTGATAAAGTGTCACACAGTGTTGTTATACAGTAATATTAACTGATGCGACCACGTTTCGAGCACAAATTATCACTGATCATAATCATACCAAGTTACTCACACAACTTTTTTCCTTCATTTATATGCATGTGTGGAATTGACTAGATACTTAAATAAAAATCAATATGGGATAATGTACATTCAGAAATAATAATACGAGTGTTATTGATGAATTACAATCAGATGGGAAACAAGACGAGTGTTTTTATAATCATAATAAGTTACTTGTTAGAATGATGTGATGTCCTTGAATTGAAATAGAATTTAGAGATTATTCATTATCCTCTTCTGGTATGACTGGCAGTAATAATATCTTCTATATTTCTGAAGTTTGCATTGAGTCCCTTCTGTTGTATGTGTTGTGTTGAGTGTAGACTCGATGAGCCAGGTAGGATTCAGTAATCAACCACCTACCTCTCCACCTACCTGGATTACTTTTAGATGTTAACTCTCTCCCACTGTATTGTATGGTTGTGTATTAATGCATGTAGTGCAATCGCTGAGCTCTTTTCTAAATTACTTATCTTCTCGGGGTCAACCATTCTTACCTTAGCTAGATTCACATGTTCCGCCAATCTGACTACCCCTGACCTACTAGTTCGACCTATGTAGTTGACCTGACTCACAGTCACTGTAAATTATGTTATTTTGTCTAATTGGGTCAACAGGGTCCTTTAACGTGCAGAGCTTGTCGTTGAGTGATTTTGTAGATTTGAATGCCACCCTAATTCCTGCTTTATTAAGAATCTTATGTAGGGTCTCTGATGTCCACTCCTTATATGGTATAACAGTGGATGACTTATATTCTCAAATGAACTGTCGTCAAGATTTGAGAGAATAGTTCTGAAATATTTGGGTTCCGAGTGAGAAGTAGACATTTGTAAAAGTTATATTTGTAAAAATGTTGTGTGAGTAGTGACTTGATATGATTATGAGCAGTTATAATTTTGCTCGAAACGTGGTCATCAGTTAATATTACTGTAACAACACTGTGTGACACTTTATCAAAATAAAATCTTATCCATAATAGACACAACGTTTTCAGTTGAAACTTTAATACGAAGTGAAGTTATTCGAACTCTTCATTAATGATATAATTATATCTTCTATATTTCTGGTATTTGCATTGAGTCATTTCTGTTGCATGTGTTGTGTTGGTGTAGATTCACTCGATGAAACAGGCAGGATTCAGTAATCAATCTCTCTCGCTCTCCACCTACCCAGATTACTTCTTAGAATTTTAACCCTCTCCCA